GGTCGGGCCAAGTTTAGTTATTGAGTCTTTCTGTATAGTAAGCCTCAGTAACAACCCGTTGGGAAGTTCTCAGTAACACACAGTTGGGAAGTTGGCGGTGTTTCACCCCCGTGCCTCGGAGAGCACGTAAAGCCGTCGGTCCTGCGCCTTAACCCTCACCGGTCGTGTCGAGCGGTCGTCCCACCGGAGTATGAGAGTGATAGGAACAGAGAGTGCACGTTGTGTCTGCGCGTACACTTGTGCACTATAATATCTCCTGCGCAGTTGGCTAGTCTCAATGAGATTGGCCGCCGTGGCCGGAATCGGCTAGGAGAACATCATCATTAGGATCTTGCGGTGAAACGTTTCCTGAATGATTAAAAGTATACTGTTCATGATTTGCTACTTTGTTTGAGCTGTTTTGTCTTGGCTTATTTATATATAGATTAGTTATAAAGTAAAAAGTTTATTACAAAGAGTAACAATCACATTAAATAAATATATTGGGACATTTCTTCACCACATTTTGAACTAACGACCAGCCCTTTGTTTACTCCGGGCTTAACTGCAAGTTCTATCCCAATTAGTAACCCCAAAAATTTACTTACTATATTATAGAAATTATAAGAAAGAATCAAAATTTGGAACAACAAAGCGCGCAAATAGACAGAAATAGCAAACGAAAACAAACCATTTATAAAATTTTAACAAAAATGTATGTAGTCTAATGATAGAAATATCAGTATGTATAAACATTACATCCTTAATTGCTTATTGACAATACAGATTGCCATAGACGAGGATTTATTTAAAAAAAAAAAACATCTATTTATTAATTATTTTTTTGCATTGTTCAAAAAATTAATAATTTAAAAAAAAACTTTATCCATTTAACGAAACTTTATCCATTTAATGCAAAATTTCGGTAACAGGGCGGCCTTTTTTTACAGTGCTTAGGGTCGGCGCTAAGGTTGAATTCGGCACTGTTCTATTAAACTAAAAATGAAATCAAAACTCAATACAAGACACGGATATAAAGTAATTTTGTTACATACAAATACAATACATAGAAGCAAAACCAATTGTGCAATGATCATAATTTTGCGTTCCCCCCTAAATCCCTGTCACGAATATGTACTGTTATCAAAGGCAAAAGGAGATACGGAATTGCAATGGAAATGTAAAACTTTGTGTATTCACTTGTAACATCGTATTGCAGTTTAAAATTTCATGTGTTATTGCTTATAATATCTAATTAATTAATTAATTTTAAATAATGATTTATCGATGATGCTTTACTTGGCGCCATAGTATCATTTACCCAGCAATGGCAGTAAGAATTATATGTTATATAGGTACATATGTTACAGTCAAAGTAATAAATGTGTTTAGTATAAATAATTACCCGTTCTTATTAATAATAATTACAATAATTGGTTGATCTAATAAACATTCCAATTCACTGTTTCTAAAACAGATTTTTATTTCTATATATTTATTTTCCATATTATTCCCGCATATTTTACATTAAATTCAAACTCAGTGACAGATCCCACTCAAATTGTAATTACTTTCCATTGGTTATTTTCAACCAGCAAAAACATAAAGAAAGTTAGAAGATACCAGCCAGGATAATGACTTCGCAAATAAAAAAGTGAAATCTAACTGGATACCAAGTTCTTTCTAAGCTCCTTGAATCATGGCTCCTGTCATGCACAGCATTCATTATAATATTATTTGCTTTATTATAATATTATAAAGAAAATATGTTATACCAAGCTACCAAATTTTTACTCGCCAAGTAATTCATAAAAAAACATGTTAAACATTGTTTATACTACGAGGATGTTAAGTTCTAGCTCAACAAGAACGATATCACAAAAGAAAACTTGCCTTAAATGATTCTTTTAATATAAGTCAATGCCAGTAGGTATACCGCCTGTTGGAAAGTATATAATAAATATATAAAAGAAAGTTGTGTTTTACATCACTTATAACTCGAGAACTGCTGAAGCAATTTTCGTGATTTTTGATTGGTTCGATTTGTCTCCACCCTGAATAGCAGAATAACTAAAAAATCGGAGAATTTCACGAAAAAAAAATTATATAAAACCTATTTCATAATAAGCGAGCGAGAAGTACCTTAGCGAAGCGAGGGTGAGTCGCTGGTTATTAATAATTTTCAAAGAATTAGGTACTAACAGTAACATATAAATTTCCTTTTTCACACATATTTTGTCGATAATACGATCTTTTGCAAACAAAATCACAAATAATATGGCTATCTAGTTAGTTTCAGATCAATTCAACAAGATTTATATACTCTGAAGGCACGCATTCTTCAATGGGTTCAATGTGGTTTTCATTTAACAAAGGAAGATTTAAATGTAGCTACGCAAATCACTTTTATCTAATAGCCTTTAGCAAGCAAAACTTTATTGCAAAGTGCCACTTAATAATCTTAGTAAACAAAAATATTATCTTTCCACAAATTATTTTACAGAAAATTAATTAATATCTTACGCTTTACGAAAATATTTCAATATTTAATAAAGAGGTAAATTGATAAATATCTTTTGCCAATTGCCTCGGAGGCTCGGTCGTCTAGTAGCTGATATATACTGCTGCTATAGTTACAGATCCATTGGTTCTGGGTTCAATTCCCGGGTTGGGCAAAATTTAGTTATTGAGTAATTCTGTATAAAATATATCAGTAAAGCGCGGAGTTGGGAAGTTGGCGGTGTTTCACCCTCATGTTAGGGAGAGCAACGATGTCGGTCCTGCGTCTAATCTCTCACTTGTGGTGAATTGTCGTTCCACCAGTCTCAGTGAGATTAGCCGACGTGGGCAAAATCAGGAGGCCACCATCACGTATATGACAACACTTGTCTCAGTTTGTAGTGACCATACTCGCTGTGCCAACGGTCGCGGGTTCCAGTCCCGCTGTGTGATGAGCACGAATGTTTGTAATCTAGTCATGGATGCTTATTTTTATAATGTGTATGTATTTAAAGTTATATCTGTGTAGTGTATCAACCAACTGGTATCCATATCACAAGCCTCGTAGCTTACCATGGAACTAGATAACGATGTGTGTTAATGTCCCAACATAATTAATTATTATTTATATATACCGTTTGAATCGTAGTAATATAGTAGGTAGCAAGTCAGGCTTGAGGTCTCTGGATAACGGGTTAATAGAACCTCTATAATTTACTATATTCAAATCACAAATGAATAAATTGCGTAATAATACGGACCCGTCAGTGCACGATTCCTTTTATTTATACATACATGTCTTACGGAATCTATCACTATCAAACGAACTCAAGTACGCAGCATCAGGAGCATAAAAATTTAGTTCAAATAAATATCAATGGATGGCGTTATCCTATAAAGCCAAATTGTAAAAGAAAAAATTGATCCAAAAAAGTATATTCTTATACTAGCGGCTCACCCTCGCTTCGCTCAGGTTCGCCTCTGGGAAAACAAAGACAAACTTATCCCACGGGAACCGTACATTTTTCCGGGATAAAAATATTATTATTATATAATCATAATTTTGTATAGACCATTATTATGAAGTTTAGTAAAGTTTCAGTCAATGCTACTGAACAGAGAAAGAATAGATAGATATAAAAAGTTCAACAAAAATGTTCTTTTTTATTTATGAACCGATTGACATGAAACAAACACTAAATGTTAAGTGAAGCTTACCACAATATATAAGTGAGAACCACATCTAAATCGGATAAGCCGTTTCTGAGGTTGTGCACAAACGCACACACAAACAGATAAACAGACAAAAAATCTAACAATCATTGTTTTCAAGGTGTTTTATTCAAGGTCCCAATAATAATCTTTCTCAAAAATATCTTCCATTTACAGACAGCGTTCCGTTACATTTTTTTTATATGTATAGAAAAGTAGATAAATTCTATCTGAAATCAAATTTCAAATCGTTATTTCATTAACCATAGAAAAGTCAGCCATTAATTACCCATTAACTAATTTAAATAGTTTTTTACACTGAGCATTAATAAATATTATTGTTTAAATTTTTTTAGTTATTTAACTACAACATTTAAATGTTGTTTTAAAACTGGTTTAATTAATTACCTACTTTATTTTATGACATGCAAAATCTATACATATTACATACTAGCATTGCCCGCGGCTCCGCCCGCGTTCAGATGACCAAAAACCTAGTTCAACTTATGTCTACTATGTGGTTTTATTAGTTCAAATAAATGGGACGTGTAAAAAAGGATCCTGAAAATTGTAAATTGTAAAGAAGCAGAATAAGCAAATGAAAATGATCTAAGTATTATACTGCTGATTGAAAAAGAATCCGACGACCTTTAAAATGGTTTTAGTAGGCATTTGGCGTATCCATTCTCTTTGTTGTTCATTCCGTTTTCTAAGAATCAACCAAAATTTTATTATATATAAATAAAATACTAATGATATATTTCAATATTTTTTTATCTCCACTTTGTCGGTGTCGAACTAAAAAATAATTCGGATTAGAGCTTAATTTACGGAACAAAAATCTTTAAAGGTTTAGCGCCATCTTACGTTAAATAGCTAAACTACTATAATTTTTTTGAAACTTCATTATTACGATAATTTTAGTAAATAATATAATATAAATAAATGTTGCTACTTCTTTATTTCAATTACGAAATAAAATTAATTTATTATTATGTTTTATATTGTAGGTACAATATAATTTCAATTTACGAACGCGTAATAGTCATCTTGGCACAACATTTATGGCACACAAAAATTCTACATTGTCTATGCTTCACAAAAAAAATTGAAGTTGGTACTTTAACATCGCTTTTGTAGTTGCGTTTTCAGCATTATCATGGCTAATATGCTGTTCTAATTAGTAAGTCTATAGAACGTGCCTCAAAAATTATTAATTACACGTACAGTGCAAAGACTATTTGATATTTTAAACGATTATATGATTACCTGCTTTCATTTGACAAATTGCGCTAGACCGCATAAATAAAATGGCAGCCCTACCACGTAGAATAATCAAAGAGACACAGCGATTGATGCAGGAACCTGTGCCGGGAATTAGCGCGGTGCCTAGTGAGAACAATGCACGCTACTTTCACGTTATCGTCACCGGTCCCGAGGACTCACCGTTCGAGGGAGGACTTTTCAAATTAGAACTATTCCTTCCAGAGGACTACCCTATGTCAGCGCCTAAGGTTAGGTTTATTACAAAAATTTATCATCCGAATATAGATCGACTCGGTCGTATATGCCTTGATATTTTGAAAGACAAATGGAGTCCCGCACTGCAGATCCGCACGGTTCTACTTTCGATTCAGGCGTTACTATCGGCTCCTAACCCCGACGACCCGCTCGCGAACGATGTTGCTGAGCTGTGGAAAGTTAACGAAAGTGAAGCTATCCGAAACGCAAAGGAGTGGACCAGGAGATATGCCATGGATAACTGAGCGCCCTCCGTCGCATCCAGTGCCTCCCCCACGCGCTACACGAAGTGGACGTAACTAACATATATATCATGATTTTAAGAGTGCAAGTTATGTTTTACAACCTAGATCGAGTAACTTGTGAAGAGACAATTGTGGATAAATTTTTATTATCGGCGGAAGCCGCCGTTGTGGCGCCCCGGCCTAGCGCCCACTCAGGTCAACCTCTTGCATTTCCTTATAGCCTCGCCCTTCATTGTCTCAGTGTAGTCCAAAAATCCCACAGATTATTGTTTACCTTATCACATGTAGCTTCGTTATGATATTAGGTATGCATATTTTTTTACTATAATTATAATAGCTAAATAATGAAATTCCCGAGACCTTAATGTATATATTTCATAGTTGATCAAATTTGGTTAATTTTATACAAAGGATATAAGTGTATCGTCACAAAGTTTAATGCCTTTGTAAATATTATCAGCATATATGCAAGACAATGCAATATTATCTGTTTTTGATCTCTATGGATATTGAATTTTTTTTATCATAGAAAGTGGAATATTCAGTAATTTATTTTCCAGTGATTATCTCCATTAACATGATTTAAAAGTGAATCTTGTGTACTATTTACGTCTTGTATAAAAAGTTATCAATAAATTGTATTTATGTAAATTTGATTTGGCTTTGTGAGCAACTTGAAAATACATAATAAACAAATGCTAATCCCTATTTTATTTCACAGAGAGTTCTCCCTGTACACAATAACACTATCTATGATTTGTCTTCGATAAGTGCTTATTTTCCCATTAAAAGGAAAATTATTAAATATAATTGCTGCTTTTGACCTTTATATAGTAATTGGGTAATATTCGAAAATCTTATATATTGACGAAAAGACACCTCTTAGTGACAAGCAATTTTTTTGACTAATATATAAAAATCTAAGGGTAGAAGGATTTATTGTTAAAGAACTTCATGAGAATTTGAATAAACTAGTCTTCAGTACATACTAATTTGCACTATAAATGTGTGATTGTGTTGTTGCATCTAGTTAATTTAATAAAGGTAGGTATGTATTATATAAAAATGCCTTCTGAAGTGTGTTGGCTTCTTTTATATGAAAGAGATTTTATTTGATAAGAATGAGCTTATTTTAAATTGTAAAATGTAATAAAAATTAGCTGAATTATTAAGAATTTTAATAATAGAATTTCATTATTGATTAGTTGAACAGTAAATATTAATATTATTTATTAATAATGTAGCAATGGTAGCACAGTGGTAACACCCTCATGTGGGAAACTAACCGAGTGAAGCAGGTTCAAATCCTAGGTCTTGCACTGATATATTCATGTGCAAATCATTTCCATCATGATTACCACATATCTTAAAGGAAAGACATCACAAGGAAACCTGCATCTCTAAGAGAACCTAGCAAGTTCTCGAAAGATATGTGAAGTCTGCCCACCTGCACTTAGCCAGCGTGGTGGACTATGGCCTGATCCCCCTCATATTGAAAGAAGGCCTGTGCCCAGCAGTGGGATGTTAAAAAGAGCTGAATATAATGAAGCAAAACATGCCACAATAGAACTATAATTGAAATTAAACAATTACAAAGTATATAGTTTTTATTTAGTTTATTGTATATTTTACGTGCAATTAACACATAATCCCTTACATGTTTAGGTAAAATGTAGGTATTTAAAAATCGATCAAATAATAAGTCGTATGTTGTTTACATAAAAAAATGCTGATTAGTTTCAATATAATATTCTATACCTACATTTAATTAAGAGTACAAATAATGAGGTCAAATCTTTAAATAATGGTTACTGATATCATATGAGTTATCATTTTGTTGTTTTGTTCATTGAGAAATAAAACTACATTGATATTAGAAAAGTTTTTATTTTGTGTAAAAAAATATTGTTTTCATTTAATTCAAAAACAAAATTTCTTGTTATTGGTTTCATTATTTTCATTACATCCGTAATAGTTTTTAAATTTTAATTTAATCATCTCATAAGTGTCAACTGTCATCAATTAAAATTTAAAAATCACCTCGTTTCAAATTGACAACGCTGGTTGCCGTGTATTAACAGTGTCAATACATGGCAATAATTTGGCAGCATCGACAAACGAAAAACACCATTCATGACAAGACTGGGGAAGAATTTGTCATTTTCTTTCGCCAGGTGTCGCGATCACTATAGCCCTCAGTATAATATTACAAAGCTCTATAGCCTGAATGATTTTTTTCTCATTTTATTTAAAATTTAATTAAAATGACAAATTGTGCAATGCCAGGATGCAAAGAAACTGAATATCATTTGTTCCCAACAGACAAAAACTTAAGAAATTGTGAAAATTGGTGATATCACATTGAGAGAGGCTATGTGGGCATCATTTTGAAGATAATGATTTTAAAACTCTTAAATCATCTACAAGTTATATTTTATTACTTTTTTACATATTCATTACAGAGTTTCATACAAACTTTCATCCCCCATTTTACCCCCTTATTGAATTAAATTTCGAAAAATGCTAAGACACGTTTTCATTTAATTGTATGGAAGAACATTAATACCAAGTTTCAAGTAATTCTGATCATAAATAATTCTTTGCCCATATATCCTTTATTACTCCCTTTATTATTTTTACCACTTTAAGGAATGAATTTTGAAAAAAATTAAATTAATATTATTTCTTATCTTAAAACTAAATACCACTCTCTGTGTATTTCACATTAAGAATGTCCGAGTTTTATACAATCTTTAATCCCCTATTTTACCCATTTAGGGGATGAATTTCGAAAAATCCTATCTTATCAGGTGCCAACATTATATAAAGAAACGTTCAAAGGTTTGCAGCAGCGGCAGCTGTGTGTTCATCCATCAAGTCAGTCAAGACCACCACAGTATGCACCTCTCCTTTTCAATTCTTCCTTTAGCTGGTCTAACTTCCAGGTACAATACATTGCGCAGATAAGATTCAAACACAATAGAAGCAAAAAACCAGGTATAAAAGAGTTCTCACAATAAATTGCTTAACCTCAAACTGAGTGTAAATAGGCTATACTTTTGGCGCCCTATTTTCGAGAAATCTACCTCATTACAGTACTAAAGCGCATTATGCAGCAACTCAGAGCAGAAAATAACTGGGTTTTCGTGTTGTTCGTGTCTGTGCGTTAAAATGCGGTATTATGCTCTGTAATTGGAATTATACATTGTCGAAAATAAAGTAAATTGACTGTTGAAAGTAAAACCTTACCTCTAGCCTCTAGGTCATTGATCTATAGAATTTTTGTATATCAATGCTGTAGGTAAATTAGGTTTTATTTATCTTTAGTGTTCTAATAGTTCTTACTGGTGTCTAATATATTTATTAATATATTAGGAAGCAGTAAGAATTATTAGAACACTAAAATATATTATATAATTTATATTTTATCTATATCTATACATATATATACGAGCGTATTATTACGTTTTACAAAAAATGTGAAAACTATATTTTTATGGGATCTGTTTCATATTTTGTTACACAAACTCTAATAACAAATCGATACATACAACACCATCTACTGACATTTATTTGCACTATTTCTTCTTTGTTTCTGATGACCCCATGATATTATCCTCTATAGTCTATACATATAAAATAAGAAGTTATGTTATATCACACCAACGTTGTTGTTTGTTGTAATATGTTACTTGTTATTCAGAACTAGCGACTCACCCTTGCTTCGCTCAGGTTCATCCCTAGATACGTTTTTACGGTTAGTATGGAATATCGTTCCCTTGCTCTGTGAAAAACAAAAATATCCCACGGGAACTGTACATTTTTACGAGATAGAAATTTACCTATGTGACTATAATACCCAGACTATAATTTATCTATGTGTCAAATTTCATATAGATCCGTTCAGCCGTTCTGGCCTGATTGAGTAACAAACATCTATCCAAACTAGCATTTATAATATTTATGGTATTACTTCTCTGGGCATTCCTAAAAGAGAACCTATTAAGTAAAGAGCATTGAGCCGCTTATGAACCTGATTCCTGTTTAGCTGAACATATAATCGAAATTACTGATTGAAATTATATGAAATTTTATACCTACCTTAAAGGTTATGGTTCCGAACCTCGAGGCAAACTAAAATGATGAATTTTATCTGTTAAGAAATTTTCAGTTTCTCATTTTCGGCAAAAGATTTTTTTGAATAGTTGATGGTGTTAGTATGACCTTGTATCATACCGTTTCCGCCTGCGGCTCTTACTTCATATATTTCTATAAGTGAAATAATTATCCACTCATTCCTCCACTTAATAACCACAAAGAGTTGCCATTTTTAAATTTTTCTTATATTTTTTTGGAATTAGTATAATAAGTTATTATTACCAGTTGCATAAATCGAGAATCCTCTCCCATCTATGCACCAATATATTTTAAGTATAATTTTCTTTAAATTTAGTCTCTAAAGGATAACATGAGTGGAAATAAAAGGCAATCATTGTAAGTACTTATTTTTATAATAATAATAATAATACTATCCCCCCCAAGGGAATTGACCTTGTCGCGGTGGGGGGGCTTACGGAAAGGAGAAACCACATCTTAAGATCACAACAGCTGATCTATTATATTTATCATACAGACCTTATAATGCCAACACCATCAAGGCTCACCCTTTCTAAACTAATAATTCCCAACCTTTTTATGTAAATGCAATGGAAAAAAGATTTTATAACTTGCGGCCGCTGCCCGGGGGTCGCCGGGGCGCACCTGGAGCCGATGCTGGGTGTCTCAGTATGCGAACCATCGGCGACAAGGAGTTGACCAGGCGGGCTCCTGTCGAAGAATTTGTTACAGCCGAAGTTCATCTTGATCACAATCCTTCATTCGAATTAACATCAACACATAGTCTATCCCAATCACCCAGTTCATCATTTCATCCTTTAAAAATACCTCCCTCTCCGTCATCATCTTCAAACACTGATATATCGTATAGTGTTGCACAG